CCCCAAAACCCCAAAACCCCAAAACCCCAAAACCCCAAAACCCCAATTATTAAATAAAGCATAGAATAAATAATAAAATGAAGCAAATTTTAATCCTGGTGTTATCTATTATCGTTTCTTCAGCTAACGTATGTAAGGATGAAGCCCAAGCCCAAGGATCACCTCGCTCAGGAAGTTTTGAGATATCAGGAACTGCTCAATCTTATTTTCTAGATATTTTAGAAGACCAAGCTAGAGGATACCTCTATTTTGTGGGATTGTACCAGTTCGGAACAAATCCGTGGGACACTATAATTTATCAAGCCGATTATGACCTAAATATGATAAAAGTGGTGATATACGATATTTTTTGTGACTACTTTTCGTACGATATTAGCCTTAACGCAGACTTCATATATATCCCTGATAAGGCTACTAAAAAGATCTTTGAAATTGATACCAATCTTGCCATTACAAGAGAGTTATCAATAAGCTTTGGCTCGGGTGTTGATAAGCAAAATTTGCAATTAAGCAATAATTATTTATTCTTTAGCTTAAATATAAGCTCTGTAATTGAAACATGAAGATGGGATATGATTTCTTCTACAATTCAAACACTAAACTTTGGTGTTGATAGTTTTACAAATTTTGTCCCAATAAATGATGAAATCGTGTTTTTTGGATCCGTAGACACTGCAACAGATCAGTATTATTTAATAAGCTATAACTTCTCTGATCCTTCCAACCTTCTCTGGAAGAAAAGCATTTTGTGTCCTACTACTGGATGAAATACTAAAAATAGCCCAAGTATTATTAGTCAAGACAAGCAATTTATTTACACGATGATTTTGTTTGAAGAAAACTTTTTGTTTTACAAAATAAATATTAATGATGGAACTCCTCAAAATTCAGGCTTTATTTGGAGTACTTCTGATTATGCCCATAGCTACATAATGAGGGAGTTCAATGAGCTAATTGCTATTCAAATCTCTACTAATATAGTTGGAAGATATAGAAGACTGATTCTAGTAAAAGCAGATAATACAAAAATAATAAAAGAGTACAGATCTGTGAATTCTCAAATTTATGTGGTTGGAAGATTAGTCAAAGACGGAGCCGAGCTAATGTACCATTCTGGAATGATTTCAACAAATAGGACCTTTTTCTTTGGAAGATCGACAACAAATAATATTGACCAACTATCAGAGTTTGAAATAGATACTTCTTTCTTCACTCAGATTACTTCCAATTATCAGATATCTTCAACAATTTCCAATCCTAGTTTGACATCAGATTCGAAATCGATTACAGTTTCAAACTCAGCTTCAACTTCCATCACTGCTACAGACAATACCTCTACTACAACTCCATCTTTTAACACTTATGTAGCTCTTTGGAACGAAGATCATGTTCAAACTGTTCAGAGCAACTCTTCTGTTCTTCTAGATTTCACTTGGGCTTGAGCCCAGTCCTCCAACTACACTGGCATAACTTTCAGTCTAGCTCAGACTGGTTCCAATGGGATTCCTGAATGGGTACAACTAGATGCAGATATTCAAGAGCTGCACTTGAATAAAACACCCAAGCTTGAAAAACCCAAGACTTACTACTTTTCTCTACAAATCTCTTTTGATGCTGAAGTGCATTTCAAACAGTTTGAAATCATTGTTGAACAATGAAATATTACTAATTGAGAAATTTGTCAGCTTGGAAACCCTAATCTTTGTGAAGTGTGTGAATCTGGGTACCAAAGCTCTAATGAAAACAAGGCTTGAATTGTAGTGTCAGCTCCAGCTGGAACCACTGAAGCAGCCACTGCATTAATAGTTGCAAGTATTGTCATGACCAGTACAGCTTCACTACTGTCTTTGTCATCGATTAACTCCATATTCAGCACAATGAACAGTCTTCAGCTGGCAATCTTGTTGCCTCTGGTTCCTGAATACTTCTCAGCTAGAGTGTTAGCGTTCCTTGGAGGAATGGGTTTCACAATGTTCTCATTCGATTTCATTAAATTTAGTGACATTCCTTTAATCCTAAAACTCACCGATTGGGTTTCATACCCACAATCAGACAAATATCTGAACAGCTTGGGGATGAGATCAGGCAGTTCAGTTGTCAATTATTTATCTTTAATGGCTATTATCATTCTCTTGGGAGCTATTCATTGATGTATCTTTATTATCAAAAAGAAAGCAGATATTTCTCAAAGTAGGAGGTGAAAACTAATATTCAATAAGCTCTTCAAGTTTTTCACTTTTAACATTTATATTAGAATATTTATTCAGGCTTTTGCTTTCACCAGCTTATCAATTTTCTCTGAAATTTATGCTCTGAATTTGGGCTCAATTGTGACAAAGATATCTTTTGGGCTTTGAATAATGTTCGGAATTTGTTCAAGCGTGCTATTTTTGTTATCATTCTACATGTACTGAAAGTCTTTCCCTCAGATTGATTATGAAAATCATTGGATATGAATTGAATATTTCAATGGAATCAAGCCGAAATAAATACTCCAAATTATACTCATGAATATTTCTGTCATTAAGATTGATGCTGATATTATTCCTCATTTTTGGAGAATCTGCTAATTCTTTGTGTAAGTCTATATACTTTAGTATTTTGAATATTGGATATTGAGGATACCTCATTATTACCATACCTTTTGAAAGTTATCAGGACAATATTATTGAAATCATTAATCAAATTTTATTCTGTTGATTATCAATTCCTTTAGCATGGGTAAATACAGAGTCAGACTGGACTTCATTTTATGAAAGTTATTACATTTCTGTACTAATGATCTCTCCTTTAATCGGAGGTTTCGTCTCATTTTTATTCCTAATAAACTCATTCACAAAATTTCTCAAAAAGCGAACCCCACCCCAACACCCTCAATCCATCACTCCCAAAACCCCCTCAGCTCCCCTCCCCACCCCATCTGCCAACCCACCTCAAAGCTCCATCATAAACTCCTGCTCAAACTCCATTCAAAGCCACTCAAATCTAAACCGGCCAAAACACAGCAAACCCCAAAAACTCCAAAAATCCCACAAAGTCTTCCCTAAACCTCACCTGTAATCTTTTCCAGTCAATATTTTGTACTAGGCGCGGGGTTTTGGGGTTTTGGGGTTTTGGGGT